AAACCACAAAGTTAACAAAACGATGCACTCCACTGTGCTGAGCAAGAGCGCTTCTTTGCTGTCTTCACGTGCTATCGGAAACTTCCTGTTTCCAACTTATGAAGTCGTTAGCGCTTCCCATGTGAGCGCTGCTGCAGTCTTAGGCCCACCCCAAATGCTCTCATTGGTTGAGACGCGATGACAAAACAGTTGCGTTACATTCACCCAATTAAAAGAAACAAAGACAAAGAACAGCATAAAACAAAAGACCTTCCACGCCGCAAACACACTCCTCTGTATTCAGCACGACTCTTCAAACAGATCACACTCGCACTAAACTCATGCATTTCTTCAACAGCGAGTGCAGGGATACACTCATGCCCTCAGGTCAGCAGGTTAATGTCGGCCATGCTCATCTCCTATTGGCTGAAAGCCCTCACTGCAAAGGATCATGGGCATTTTTCCCTGAAGCAATGACACACTTTCCATTCCTATTCTTTACCTGCTAATAAATTACGAATGAGGATAAGATAGTTAGTTGACATTAGAGGAAAATCTTAAAGTATGAATGTCAGCAGTCATTTTTGACCACAAAGTTGACTTTAAAATCACAACTCAACTAGACAGTTGAGAAAGGGATATTTCACCAAAAAAAAAAAAATGCTGAAATTGTACTCACCCTCAGGCCATCCATGATGTAGATGAGCTCGTTTGAACAGATTTAGAAAATGTAGCATTCCATCACTTGCTCACCAGTGGATGCTCTGCAGTGAATGGGTGCCGTCAGAATGAGAGTGCAAACAGCTGATAAAAACATCACAATAATCCACAAGTAATCCACACCACTCCAGTCCATCAGTTAACGTCTTGTGAAGAAAAAAGCTCAATGTTTGTCAAACAAATCCATCAATAAGATGTTTTTAATTATAAACTGTTGCTTCCCACTTAAAATATGAGTCCTCTATCCATAATATTGCTTTCTCTAGTAAAACCAAAAATGTTGTATCGTCTGAATCAGGAGAGAAATCTGCACAGACCAAGCACTGTTTACAAGCGAATACAGTCCAAAACAGCTCTAAACAAATATGTGGCTGGATTTTGAAGTGAGAGGACAACAGGGGATGGAGTTTTTCACTGGAGGATTATGGTTTACGAAATTTTTGCCAGAAGCAATAATTTAAAGTTAAAATGCCTTAATGATGGATTTGTTTCAAATGCACGTCTTTTCACTTCATAAGATGTTAATTGATGGACTGGACACCAAAATATTTGTTTAGAACTGTTTTGGTTTGTAAACTGTGCTTAATGTGTGCATATTTCTCTCTTGATTTAGATGAGATGACGTTTTACTGGAGAAAGCAATATTACAGACAGAGGACTGGTTTAAAGTTAAAAACATCTTAATGATAGATTTGTTTCTTACAAACATGCATCTTTTGATGTTAATTAATGGACTGGACTGGAGTGGTGTGGATTACTGTGATGTTTTTATCAGCTGTTTGGACTCTCATTCTGACGGCACCCATTCACTGCAGAGGATCCTTTGATGACCAAGTGATGTAATGCTACATTTCTCCAAATCTGCTCTGATGAAGAAACAAACATCTACATCTTAGATGGACTGAGGGTGAGTAAATTTTCAGCAAATGTTTTCTGAAGCAAATTCATTTTTTGAGTGTACTATTCCTTACCTAGGAAACGAGTGCTGATCACCCATGCAAAACTTGCCACCAATATGCTAAAGCGTTATGGGCTGTTGCCAGTACAAATTAAATTCCAAAGTAATACTGTGAGGCAGGGGTTTGTTTTGCCTTAGCAAACACCACCAGTGAATGTCCTCTTCAATCACAGTAAACAGCCCATCAACAGTCTCTATAGATCGTGTGCGGGCAGCTGTGCTTGGAGAAAACATTAAACTGAAACTACAGAACAGACGTCACTATTCACGACAGACAGCGAGGTTAAGAACTGCACGTGAATCCTCGGCTTGTCTCGAAGATCCTCTCTTACAAGTTTTTGTCACTCCCAACACAAAAACACACACATTCACGGGTCGATGTGTGAAAAGTGTGAGCGCTGTGTGAAAAATGAAGCTGACATGCTGAACTGTACTAGACAAATCCAAGCAGCATTCCAGTGATCACAGCTAAATTGGGTTATTTCACTGTTGTGTATGTGCTGGAGACGGCATGAATGTTTTTCCCTAAAGTCAACATGAAACACTGTTTGCAACCATTATATACAGTATATATATATATATATATATATATATATATATATATGCTCAAAATTGTAAATATGAATGGGAATATACTTCACAGATATTTTACTCATAAGAATTTCTAGAGGTACCAACAATTGTGTCCAACGTGTATTTGAGAAAAACATTTATGTCATAATGATATTTCCCCCCATTTTAAATTCTTATTCTCCAATGAAAGGTTAGATTTATGTGAATTTTTTAAATAAAATATCAAAATGATTAACAATGCAGATTTCTTTTCACAGCCTTCTTTGATCATATTTACCAAGGGTGCCAATAATTCTGATCACGACTGTATATATATATATATATATGCATTACTGTACTTTTATTTAGAAAGGATGCTTTAAATTGATCAAAAGTGACCGTAAAGACATTTATAATGTTACAAAAAAAATCTATTTCAAATCAATGCTGTTCTTGAACAGACTCCTGAAGAAAATTTGGTTTCCACAAAAATATGAAGTAGATCAACTGTTTTCAACATAGATAATAATAAGAAATGTTTCTTGAGCAGCAAATCAGCATATTAGAATGATTTCTGAAGGATCATGTGACACTGAAGACTGCAGTAATGATGCTGAAAATTCAGCTTTGATCACAGGAATAAATTACATTTTAAAATACATTCAAATATAAACAGTTGTTTTACATTTTAATAATATTTCACAATATTACTATTTTTACTGTATTTTTATATATTTTTTTCAAATAATTTCAAGCCTTTCAAAAACACACACACACAAAAAATCTTAAGAGTATAAAATTTGGGGCAGGGCTTTATTTTATACATTATGAACTGAGTGGATCATGAAAACAATTACAGGTGCAACATATCAAAAACACCTGAACAAGATTTTGATGATGTCAGTAAAAGTAGAAAGTCATTTCATGGGCAATTTATTCATTTATTTAATAACATGCATCAATGAATCACTTGCAAGGACACATATATTAAGAAAATAAATAGGTTAATTTTGATTTCATCCCAACTTTAAAGGGATAGTTCACCTTCAGTTGCTGGTCCCCATTGACTTTCATATTATGGGGGGAAAAAAACACTATACAAGTCAATGGGGACCAGCAACTGAAGGTGAACTATCCCTTTAAGAGTGTGCCACCAGACTTTCAGATTTTCTTTCTTAAATCTTACAGCCCTGACACTCTCACACTCTCTCTGCTCTGCCCTGCTGTTTGTTTGACACACAACACAAACTCGGCAGCAAGAGAGACGGCTTTAGCTAATGGCTTTTTAATGGGCTGCTGGGTTTCTTGTGTCTCCGAGCTGATGGCCACCACTTACCCCAAGCACACAAACACACACACGTGGCATACAAACAGAGTCATTCCCACTTTGTCTTGTCTCCTTAAAGTGACTTAGAAACCTCACTCCACTAACGACGCCCTGCTCTTCAGCAGACTGGAGTCACATATGAACCCTTATTCCATTACGGACTCATAAAACACTCTGCAAAGACCGAGGCAGAAGACAGACGCTCTCTAATTTCATAACTCAACATTACAGCACACATTCACACAGAAGGAAATGGGAAAATGCTTTGCATCGTTATAATAGAGTGATGAATGCAAAATTTAGAACAGATCTTCCTGTAAATCTTAAAACGAGAGCAAAATTGCATTATCGCATACCTAAAAATGTAAAGAGAAAGATAAAATGCAGAAAAGATAGGAATAGTTTTCTCACCCTCGTGTTATTTCGAACATACAGTATACAACTTTTTTTATTCCATGCAACCTGTAGTCTCTTTCCTGCTTTTTTCCATACATTGGAAATGTATGATTTATTCTGTCATACTCAGATTTATCCGGTGAACAGTCCAAAACTGAAGTTGTTGTTCAATGAAATGTCATCCTCCACCACAGCTCTCAATTTGCATTTGTGCTTGGGCCTGTTCAGACTTGGCACATATCAAGGATGGCACTTGGCAGAGACATCGTGTGTGCCATGGAAGAGAGTCATAAGGGTTTGGAATGACATGAGGGTGAGAAAATTATATGAAAGAATATTCATTTTTGAGTGCAGTGAACAATCATCTTGACTGCCAATGAATAAAAACACTATTATAAAATCAGCACAACATAGTCAAATAACACCTTCAACAAACATGTTTCAATTGTAAACTTAAAATGTAAATATACCATAAATTAATATAATACTACTATACATCTAAAAAAAATTTTTTTAATTATGTAAAATTTTTAATGGTCTATATATATTTGTCAAAATGCAATACTAACTTTTTAAAATATTAACTGGATTATTGAAGAATCGGTTAAAATACACGAATGGAAAAACTGGCCCTGAGATACTGGAGCTTTTCAGCAGAATTTCCCGCTGGAATACATAACAAAAAAAAAAATGCATTCTTCATAAATAACATATCCAGCGGGAGAAACGATCAAATAATGTACCGAACCAGTTTTGCAGAGACAACATTTCAGTACCAACAAAAGTCACATTACAAGTTAAAGGGGTCATATGATGTTGCTAAAAAGAACATTATTTGGTGTAATGAAATGTGTTTATGCGGTTTAAGATTCAAAAAACATTATTTTCCACATACTGTACATTATTGTTTCTCCTCTATGCCCCGCCTTTCTGAAACGCGTCGATTTTTACAAAGCTCATCATTCTGAAAAGCAAGGTGTGTTCTGATTGGCCAGCTATCCAGTGTGTTGTGATTGGCCGAATACCTCAAGAGTGTGACGGAAATGTTACACCCCTTACCATACTGTGATGCCGTGTCCCGAAGCGATGAGCAAAACCAATAAAACCCATTATAAACGAGGCATTTGTTGCATCCAGTAGGGACATAATTACTGATTATAATGACTTATACTGTCTTTTTACGCGTTGAGTTGCATCGCGCCGCATAAACATAAAACCATGTCTGCATTTGTGATCGGAGAAATGACAAACAACAAGTGCTACTCTAACACTGCCCAAAACTCGCGTTTGGCAACCAAACACACAGCGTCTTCACAACATGGCTGCGGCGGTGGCAGCAATAAAGTTACTTCTTTGCGTGAACATTTGGGCAGCGTTATGCGGGCTGAGGGTGAGGGTGTGTTTAAACGAGGCGTTTTAGGAGGGCGTGGACCAGTCTTAACTTATATAAAGAATATCTCTTTGGGTTTAAGACTTTAGTCTTTGTAACTTTAGGGATCTTATCTATTCACGAACAGCTTGTAACACTCCAAAGAGAAAGGAAAACTTGAAATCGCATCATATGACCCCTTTAATAAAGCGCGCTAAATAAATGATCGCGAAGTCGCTTTCGCCGGAGGACGTCGCCATAGTAACAGTAGGTCGCTAGCGTTTTCAGTCGATCAGATCCAAATCAGACAATACATTGCGAAAACGTCAGCATGTTGTCAATAATTAGCCTACATATAGAATTTTTACGGATTGCAAATATTCCACAAATATTTTTTGTAAATGTAGCCTACTTCAGATTAAGACAGTTAACGACTGAGCCTGGTTTCTCCCAAGGTTTTTTCTCCATTCTGTCACCGATGGAGTTTTGGTTCCTTGCCACTGTCGCCTCTTGCTTGCTTAGTTGGGGACACTTCATTTCCAGCGATATCGTTTACTTGATTGCAAATGATTGCAAAGATACTATTTAAACTGAACTGAGCTGAATGAAGACATCACTGAATTCAATCATGACCTGTCTTTAACTGGAAAATTAGTGTTTACTATTGTCATTTTGCATTATTGACACACTATTTTCCTAATTAATGCTGTTCAGTTGCTTTGACACAATCTGTATTGTTAAAAGCGCTATATAAATAAAGGTGACTGACTGACTGACAATGAGTTGGCTATGAGAATAAGGTGTCCGGTATATGAGCTGCTCAGAGCAGGAACTGCAGTTGGGCAGATATTAAGTGAGCCTTAAAGGTGACTTGACTTGACAGTTAGTTAACTGTGCTCGTGACGAACCTCGACCGATTCCACGTCAGCCACGACAACTGACAGAAAAAGTCAACGAATAAAAGTCGATGAATAATTCGTGCCCAGCACAAACCTTTATCATTTAATAATAATCTCCCCCAAATCTCATTTCTGACAGCAGACAATGATTTTAAAAAAAAAAAAGGGAAAAAATACAGAATAACAGAAAATCCTTACGCAGCCTATTAAATGGTCGGTGTTAGGCTACTCCTAAGGCATTACTGTGGCTTTGCGGTCTCAAATTTCAAATCAGACCTCCAAACAACATCAGATCTCAATTTTCATTTCAAGGGACTTCACAGTTGCATGCTGTTTTGCATATAAAATTGCCAAAGCATCAACACGCACAAAAATCAGCGACAAACAAAAAAAGAGAAATCAAATAAAACTGTTAATATAACGTTCCGGTGATGTGAATAGGCTAAATGATAATCGCAATGTATAACATAGAATGCAATTCAATAAAATAAACTTTCAGCAAGACATTAAAATATCTCTAACTGGAAAGTGGTCTTACCTTGCGCGTCAACTATTTGCAGGAGAACCCACAGAAAGAGAAGCACTAATCCCAATCTAAATCTCTGGCGTCCGTTTTTCCCCATGACTTCGGAGTTTGGAAACTCCTCAGCGCGGAATATTCGTTCCTTCTTCGGTTTGCTTCGGCCGTTTTGGAGGAGCTGCTGTGGTGGTGAACGGAGGACCGACGCCGTTACGCGTCCCAAATTCTGCGTGTGCTCCTAACGGAGAGATCAGGAGAAGATCCCGGGACTGGAGCGGTAACCGGAGGTGCGGAGCTATTTGCGGTCTCAAATTTCAAATCAGACCTCCAAACAAGATCAGATCTCAATTTCAATTTCAAGGGACTTCACAGTTGCATGCTGTTTTGCATATAAAATTGCCAAAGCATCAACACGCACAAAAATCAGCGACAAACAAAAAAAGAGAAATCAAATAAAACTGTTAATATAACGTTCCGGTGATGTGAATAGGCTAAATGATAATCGCAATGTATAACATAGAATGCAATTCAATAAAATAAACTTTCAGCAAGACATTAAAATATCTCTAACTGGAAAGTGGTCTTACCTTGCGCGTCAACTATTTGCAGGAGAACCCACAGAAAGAGAAGCACTAATCCCAATCTAAATCTCTGGCGTCCGTTTTTCCCCATGACTTCGGAGTTTGGAAACTCCTCAGCGCGGAATATTCGTTCCTTCTTCGGTTTGCTTCGGCCGTTTTGGAGGAGCTGCTGTGGTGGTGAACGGAGGACCGACGCCGTTACGCGTCCCAAATTCTGCGTGTGCTCCTAACGGAGAGATCAGGAGAAGATCCCGGGACTGGAGCGGTAACCGGAGGTGCGGAGCTATGCGCCGCCGCCCTCTAGCTCTCATATAATCGCGCTCTCCAAAGACGCGCTCACACTCCTCTGCATGAGTTGGTCATTAGTTGAGAACGCACACTCATTCACTGTATGGCGATGTGTGTTTGTGCTGCTTTTCTCTCTCTGGATGCGTTCAGAGGAGCTAGAGATCTGGTTTTCAGCATCCAGCATCCAGCTGTATGCATGTGCGCTCGGCGCTCGCCGAATATGAGCAGCGTGAGTCCCGTTTTTCGGTTTAACCCTCATGCAGCTGCCCGCCTCTGCCCTCCACCGGCTACTGCGAACACTAGGACCGGATTCAACGACGGATCTTCTTCTGAAATAGACGATTTTGCGATCTGGATGATACCAAACTAAAGTGTAAAAAGTGAAAATGCACCTGATCTTCCACTAAACATGATTTTCGTTGCTATAGCTTATAATGTCGTCAGGTTGAGACATATTAAGTCATAATTTTACTTAATAACAAAACAAGTAAATGTAAATGTTACAACGTGGTATTTTATATGCAATTGCCATACATATGAACATTACCAAAGATTTCATTTTACGTAATGCACATTAAAAAAAAAAAAATTCCACAACGTTCAGACCGCAATCAAAAGTTAGTTTACAAGGGCCGTTGCACTCAGCGATCCACAGCAACCGGACATCATTAATTTTCAATAGGGCTTTTCAGTGAACCTGTAATACCCAACTTATTTTGCAACGGGAAAGTGAGTTATTTTCTGTGAATGTGCGAGACTTCCGATTCATTAGCCGCTCTAGACCTTGTGCGTCAGAGAAATAAAAGTGCGCAGCCATCTTTATAGTTTTGTCTTTGAACATCCATTTTTGCGGCACTTATAGCATCACTGTTGAAGCATCACAAGTGATAAAATGTGGCGGGGCTATGGTCTAATAAAACAACAAAGTGCAGCAAACGGTAAAACTATTTGCGCAACAAACCAGTGTGTTTAGAATTCCTGCAATGCATTATGATAACAAATAACAAATATCAGTTTAATATCAAGCAGCAGCTGTTTTGTACAGTTAAAAATAGGCCTAAAATAACAGAGGAAACCTGGCACATTCAAGTTGCAAATGCCCGTTTTACAATAAAAATAAGATGCATACTGTACCTTTAGTGGATGCTTTTACCCAGAGCAACTTACAAATGAAGAACACTGCAAGCAATTTATCATACAAGAGCCATAAATACTTGCAGTAACCCAAACGCCAAGTTTTGAGAGTAGGCTCTCTAGAGAATCTAGAACAGAATTTATATAGGACCTGCTTCTTACCGTGGTGGTTTAAGTGCTCACATCAGAGGTGTCTTTAGCTGTTTCATGAAGGTTGTGATGGTCTCAGCACGTTGAAGGCTTGTTGGGAAAACAGAGAGAGTAAAGGTTTTGGAAACTGATGTTGTACCTCATTATGTTGGAACCACCATGTGCTGCTCACTCATAGAAGACAAAATGGATCATCCACTTGTAGGTGTGAGATGAGGTTGGACGTTGTTGTTCCAGTGGTAGTCCTGAAGGCCGTCATCAAAGCCTTGAATTTGACCACAGATAGACAGTGGAGTGAGACCTCAAAAGGTGTGAAATGTCTCTTTCTAGTTGTTTGAAGATCAGATGCATGACAAACGGGAAACTCTCTGGTATAGCAGAATAAAAGTAATAAACACGTCAACAAAATCAACCCTACAGTAAATAAAAATGATCAAATGCGACTACATTAATGATTCATGCCCCGGTGCATGCTGGGTATAGGAACAGGGTGAATGGGACTGAATTGCAAAACAAATCTTTTAAGTCTAGGTCTATTTGAACAAAAAAAAAAATCATAAATCCAACTTACCTGCTGTGCTTGTTGGTTCTTTAAAAATTATATTGAGTATTGCAGCAGAAAGAATGGCATCAAGATGCAACACTTGTGTTCTTGAAAGTTCGGAAAACTTTGGAATTTAAATGTAAAAAAACTTTAAATTTAAATGTATATATATATATATATATATAT